CTCCTGCCTGACACAACAGCCCCAGCACGGGGCAGCAGGACTCCTGCCTGACACAACAGCCCCAGCACTGTGCCAGGCAGCAGGACTCCTGCCCAGCTGGCCATAGGAGTGTGCTGTGGGCACGCCTGTGGAAGGACAGATCAACAACAGGCCCAGCATCACAAGCAGCAGAGGACATCACAGCCCCAACACCTCCTTATTTCCCTAGTGGGCACTTTTGACCCTCCTCCCACCACCTACTGCTACCATTCTTCCTGGGAAGGCAATGCTAACAGTTCCTTTCACCATCTCCCAACTTTTGCTTGCCTGAATACAGGCACAATTTAGGCACAAAAACCAGGACAGAAGATTATTCCAGAGTCCCATAACTTGATGGTTTTAAGCACCCAAAACATGCCAGGCATGCTGTTGTAAGCAAGCAGCCCCAAATGCTATTACTACAAGGGAAGATCAGAAAACACCTTTCACATGAACCACGTCACCTTTCCTGTGAACAGAAAATGGGATTTGAAAAGGCCATTTCAGTAGCTCAAATAGTGGAAGTCCACTTGCCCCTTAATAAATTGCTCTTGAGCCACCAAGGGCTGTTAATTCTACTGCAACTCCAGCGAGTGTCCTCATCAGCTCCATGCACCAGTCCTTGTGGCAAATTCAACAGAAAAAGCTTGTTCTCACCCATTTCCATCTAACCTGCTACGGGGCAGAACATTCAGCTCCCACAACAAGCATAAACTCCTCTGCCATTAAACAGAGCTTCTTTGAATCACTGCAAGCAAACCTTTCAAGATAACACAAATAGGCTTAAAAATGGAAAAATATTTATCCATATTTTGTTAGTTTAGGCTTAAGAACAGACAGAATGGCATAAATCCCACAAATGAGCAACACCACCGCTGGCTGTTGTGGTAGAACACTGATCAACTTTGCATCAATACTTCCACCCAAAAAAACCCAAACATCCTTATGCGAAACCCGACAACCAGAATATCTACATTGAACTGACACAGAACAAATATTCCTTTTAGAAACACACTCATACTTCCACTGCCAAACCTGTCAATCCTCCAAGGATTAGTAGGGGTCATATTAAAAAAAAAAAAAGGCTCCTTTATCTGCTGAAAAGTAAACTAAATATCCAAAAGGTCTTAAGAAAGCATGAATCATGACATCTTGTGTGTTTATGATGTCAGCCATAGCACACCAAGCTGTATATATAGACACCAGCCGTCCACACAGCCCCATCCCTGGAGCCAGCTGACTTCAGCCGATCCACTGACCAGCTGCTCAACATGCAATCCAAAGGTAATACAGATGCTTTAATGTTATCTGGACTAAATTTCATAACAAAAATAATTTGGGGTATGGCTGTAGACTGCATGGCTGTGAGTGTGAAGGAAAAAAAAACTTTTTTATCCCATGGTGAGAGTGGTCAAGAACTGACACAGGGTGCCCAGAGAGGCTGTGGATTCTCCATCCTGGCAGACTCTCAGAACTTTACTGCCCAGTCCTGGACAGCTTGCTCCAGCTGACCCTCTCTGAGCTTGGCTGGTGAATGGACTAAATGATCTCCAGAGGTCTCTGTCAACCTCAACCCTTTTGTGAGTCTGCAAAGAAGTGTGTGGCAAGCACCCCCAGAGCGATACCAGCGCTCTGCTGGAGGCCTGCTGCTTAGAACAAGAACTGCAAAAGGCTTCCCTGAACATTGTTGGGAAGGGGTGAGATTAGGGAGACACAAAAATCAGATCCCAGAGGAGGGAAGTGAATGGTTAGGGAGGCAGAGGCCTGCCCAGCTCCCTCCTCAGCCTGCCTGCGACTCGAGCCCCCCACAGACAGAGGTGGCCGCTGGGGCCACCCCGGAGCCAGCCTCCGCCAGAGCCCTCCTGCTGCTGGGCTCTCCCTGCTCTGCGGGGAGGAGAGCCAGCCAGCCCTCCCTCCCTCCCTCCAGCAGGTCTCCCCTTCGGCCAGCCGCAGGACACTCACTCTTTTCCCGTTTGCTGCACAGGGCTGCCCCTCAGAATGAAGCTCCTGCTGCTCACCTGCGTGCTGAGCGTGGCTCTGGCTGTGGCAAGTGCAGTGAGTACTGAAGAAGCTAAACAGGCACCAGTGTGGGAAATGCTAGCAAGGGAAACTGGAAATCACAATTTTAAACTAGTAGCAGCCTTAAAAATGCTCATCTTTGGTACAGGCCTAACTTACTGATGTTATCTACCATTCTAGATTCTCAACTCATTATTGAGCCCTTAAACTTCAAAGACAAAAAAAAAATTGAAATAACCACCTTGGAGCCAGCTCACCAACAGGGCCTATATTTTCTCCATTTGCTATTTCAGCTGGCAGTATTACAGACATTGAGGATTAATAAATTCCCTTTACAGAACAGACTTTGTTTTCTAACAGGAAAAGAAAAAAAAAAAAATTAAGTCCTTGATTTTTTTTTTTTTTAAAGAAATACAAGAAAAATCACACCTCTCCTCTAAAAGAAAATTCATTCTTTTTCCACATGATAGCAGCAGTGAAAGCTCTGGTTCAGACAGTATGGATGATGTAAGTCTCATCTGTAAATTAAGAGAACCTCACTGGTTTGAAGATCTGTATTTAGCTGGCAGCACTACAGACAGGAGATTATTAAGTTCCCTTAGCAGAACTAACTTTGCTTTCTAATAGGAAAATCAAAACGAAGTACTTATTTCTTTTAAGAAATAGAAGTAGCAGGAATTATGCCTCTCTCTAAAAGGAAATTCATTTTTTCTACAGGACAGCAGCAGTGAAAGCGAGTCTTTGAGTTTGAGCTATGTAAGTATATTTTGTCAGTGAGCAGAATCTCATGGTCCAAACATTTGTATTTGACAGTACTACATAGATTGGAGATTAATAAATCTCCTCTGCAGAACTAACTTTGCTTTCTAATACAAAAACCAATATGATGTACTTATTACTTTTAAGAAATAGAAGCAGGAGGAATTATGCTTTTCTCTAAAAGGAAATTCATTTTTTCTACAGGACAGCAGCAGTGAAAGCGAGTCTTTGAGTTTGAGCTATGTAAGTATATTTTGTCAGTGAGCAGAATCTCATGGTCCAAACATTTGTATTTGACAGTACTACATACATTGGAGATTAATAAATCCCCTCTGCAGAACTAACTTTGCTTTCTAATACAAAAACCAAAATGATGTACTTATTACTTTTAAGAAATAGAAGCAGGAGGAATTATGCTTTTCTCTAAAAGGAAATTCATTTTTTCTACAGTCCAGCAGCAGTGAAAGCTCCGAGTCAGAGAGTATAAGTTATGTAAGTATATTTTGTAAATGAACAGTCTCACCAGTCCAAACATTTGTATTTGACAGTATTACATAGATTGGAGATTAATAAATTCCCTCTGCAGAACTAACTTTGCTTTCTAATACAAAAATCAAAACGAAGCACTTTATTTCTTTTAAAAAAGAAGCAGGAGGAATTTTGCCTTTCTCTAAAAGGAAATTCTTTTTTTCTACAGTCCAGCAGCAGTGAAAGCTCCGAGTCAGAGAGTATAAGTTATGTAAGTATATTTTGTAAATGAACAGAGTCTCACTGGTTCAAACATTTGTATTTGACAGTATTACATACGTTGGAGATTAATTAATTCCCTCTGCAGAACTAACTTTGCTTTCTAATAGGAAAATCAAAATCAAAACAAAGTACTTATTTCTTTTAAGCAATAGAAGCAGGAGGAATTTTGCCTGTCTCTAAAAGGAAATTCTTTGTTTCCACAGTCCAGCAGCAGTGAAAGCTCTGACTCGGGCAGTATAAGTTACGTAAGTGTCATCTGTACATGAACTGTCTCACCAGTCCAAACATTTGTATTTGACAGTATTATGTATGTTGGAGATTAATAAGTTCCCTTTGCAGAGCTACATTTGCTTTAACAAGAAAAATCAAAATCAGAATGAAGTACTTGATAATTTATTTTCTTAAAGAAATAGAAGCAGGTGGAATGGTGTTACTTTAACAGGAAAATAATTCTTCCTTTACAGTCCAGCAGCGAAAGCTCTGAATCAGACAGCATGGAGCGTGTAAGTATATTTTGTAAATGAACAGAATCTCCCTGGTTCAGGGATTTGTATTTAACTGGAGCATGTGGCACTGAACGAGAGGACACTGACACGAGGTGACTCTTTTCACTGCAGTCAAAGAGGGCCCTTGAATCTGGCAATTACAACGCTCGTGCAGCGGACGGGGCTGCTCTGCGCGCTCGCTGACTGCCAGCCTGAGGTAAGTGGGCTGCCCAGGAGTGCAGTGGGCACCAAGGAGCCCTGCACCAGGGGACACAGCTCTGCTGAGTGACAGGCTGCTACAGCAGGGAGCAGGGCAGGGACTGCAATTCAGCTTTGACTGGGGAGAGTAATCCACTTGGCCTTCTAATTAGCTGACATCCGTTCTATGGGGTAACTGTTTTAATACAAAACCTGCTCTATTTCTTCTGCTTGAAAAGAGGGTACAAGCTTTGCCCAATTTCTGCTGCTGTTTCCTAGATATTCTTTAAGTGTTTGCCTGGGTGTCCCAAGCCCTGGGGACAGACAATCTCCTTGACATTTAAGAAAAGTAGTTTGGGATAAACAGAGACAAAACACATGGCGCTGAAAAACACCACTTCCCAACACATCTAACTTGTATTAATATACAAGCTAACATCACCCATACAAAGAAATAGATCTTTTTCCCAGAGATTTGTGAAATGAACAGAGTTGCTTATTTATAAGCTTTCAGTATTGTAATTATGCAATAAATTTCAGGACACAAGTATGCACCGAGACCTGCCTAGTACTGGGATACACAAAGTAACTGTGTTCTGTACAGCATATGGTCTAAGAACACACTCCAGCTGAAAGCTGTCTAACCAGAAAGCTTTCCTGGAAACCTGGTGATCAAACCACATAGAACCAAGTCCACTTAGCCTGGCCAAAAAAGGCTTTAGCACAAAACCAGTGAAGAACGAAGGGATTCCTTGCAGAAATTTTGTTTTCCAGGAATAACACACTGGCTATGGAAGCAGTGCATTAATATTTGTACTGCTCATTCTGATTGTGGTACTTTCATTATTTTCCCATTTTCACCTTTAGTTATTATTCATTTAGCACTTCATATCTAAGCAGCAACATTCAAGATAAAGGATCATGCTATTTGGACAAGCAACAGCACAGTAACCCTTGCTCTCAGGCACAATCAGCTGCACATTTACCTCCCACAGCCTTAAGAAGGGTCTGCTCTTGTGGTCATGCTTTCAAAACCCAGCTACACTGGGGGACTGCTCTGCATAATGCATTAATGGCACATTAAATTCATTAACTGTTATTAATTCTCACCTGCCATTCTCTTCTTACTCTGCAGATACCTGGAAGACTATGAATGTCTCCTGCAGAACATTTGCTTCTAGATAATCAACTTCTTACAGCTCCTTCCCACCTTTTGCCTCACCAGTGCACTGGAAACTGAGGACAAAGAACAACCAAGTCCTGTTTCACATACCCACCTCTGAAACCGGAGTGGGTTACAGTGCACAGCTCTCTCAAACCTTCTCTGATGATTTGTTAGGCTTCAATAAATGCTAAGCATCAATTTCTTTGTTGTAGTCTTCTTTTCTTGTGAAAAAAAAAGTATTCCCAAGTCATTTCAGTGATCTTGTTTCCAAAGACCGGAGTAGAAAGGGAAGGGAACTCCTGAAGCTAGCTATGTCCATTCCGAGTTGCACAGGTTCTCCTAGGTCCTCATCTGACCCCACCAGATCTTACCCAGTCTCCATACTATGCTGAGGACAGACCAAAATCACTTTTCCCTAAGTAACCACTAGATCTTCTCTAGGATTTGAAGAAAGGTCTGAGTAAGCCAAGTCTATGGAAGCTTCTATTACAACTGAAAACATTCCTAAGCAAGACCACAGAAGAAATTAAGTAAGCAGGAAGAAGTGAAAAAGGACTGAAAAAATTTAGTAACTCTTAGCATTACTGTTCCTTTGAGAGGGACATACTAATAACTCTACAAGATTCCCAGAGTTCCCTGTATAAACACTGTATAAAAAGGACTCCTCAAGGTTTCATTAGCTAATTGGGAGGAAGGAGGGGGTTGAAAAGGAGAAAAAAGAATTCCTTAGTTAAACAGGATGTTACCAACAGAATCAACAAAGCGTTCCAGACCGTGACATTACCACCACCACACTCCAACATACACCTCAGTTCACCACAACTCCCTCCCCAGGTCTTAACCACAGCTTTTAGCTGTTACTGTCACCAACTCATGACACTATTACACAACTTACAGTAATTGCTCCGTGATTAAAGAAACCCAGGGAGCAATGTCAGCACCTGTTGTGCAGCTCTTATCAGCACAACTGCCACAGCAGGCCCACATCAGCCATCTGACTGCAAGATCCTCACATTACCAAAACTGCAAAAACCACCACAGTTTACAAGATTTATGGCTGCTCTTTCCAAAAATTCTGTTTGTAGCATGGTCTCTCCAACAGCCACACTGCCATAAGCAGTGGGAAGATAGAAACCTCAAAATCCAGCTCCTAAAATCAGTCAAGTGACATCCTCCAGCAGTTCCCTGTAGAGGTGCTGTCAGGCCTCCAGAGGTGAATTCCACCCATACTGTAAACTAGAAAGCAATCAAGTGTGAAAACTAATACCACAAAACAGAAAAATCACTGAAAGGAGAACTGCTCAGAAACTTCATTTTATTATGTAGTACTTGGAGTAATTATGCAGGTTACCACCCTGCAAGTCTCACATCCCTTATGGATTCATATTCCCAACAAGAAATCAGTGCAAAAACGCAGAGCTGAAGAGACCAGCCTCTGAACTACACCAGTCAGGATCTCAGTGTCATCACACAAATCTGCAGATATCAAACTGCTGCAAATAATGAAGACAAGAAGGCAAAACAAGGTAACAGCTCCACATTCATCTCACTTCACACTAGCTGAGAAATCCAAGGAAGCAATCTGCAGTCTCCGAAAAGGCTTCTGTTTATCACTGCCAAGTTGTTTTGTGAGCTGAATTTCACAGAAATGTCACTGGATTCCCACTGAAAAGGAAAATGTCATCTGTTTCAAAGCTGGAAAACATTCTCTCCTTGGCATGTCAGCTACTCGGGAGCAGGACCCTCACTCCAGTGGGCTCCCCACTTCTCAGTCACAAGCTTAAGGAAGTAGCTGTGATTTGCATACAGCTTGAGCTTCTCAGTGATGTCAACCCACTTCACTGCTCCAGCATCATCACCTGCTTCCAGAGGCAACTGATCCATTGTCTCACCTGTTCACAAAACAAGAGTTAGGACATGCTGTTGCATCTTCTTTTCTGCTTTTTCTTCCCACCTGATCAGTTCCACTCTTCCACAGGGCTCCTTCACAGGCAGCAACCTTTGACTCCTTCTCAGAGAGAAGCCAGGAAGTTGTTCATCAACTCTGTGCCAGAAACCTTTCATACTTGTACTATTTTAAGGCAAACCTGAGTGACAGAGGTGGTAACTCCTTGTCACCACTCTTAGGGTACCATCATCAGCATAAGAAGTTACTAGAGATCACTATGGATAATGTCTGACTGCTTCTTTCACAGATACTATTCTACAGGACAAACTGAACTCTGAAGCTTACATACACTTATGACAGAAAATGAGAATTAAAATTTTATTAAAGGCCCCAAAATAAAAAATACTTAAGGAGGGAATCAGAAAGGCTTCTGAATTTCTCTCCAAAGTTCCTTACTCTGTTTTGAAGAAAAGTCCCAGGACTCCAGACAACAACCAAAGAAATCTTTTCAAAAGCATTACAAAATGTGTACTGGAATCAAAGAACAAAGGATGGGTATTGTCAGTGCTTCTGATAAACCAAGGACCAGTGCCTCTGCCACTGGTATCTACTACCCAAAACACAGTGGAAATGGCACTATATGAACTCTGAGCTGAACAAGTCAAAGACACTTAACTAGACTGATTTATCCTGAAAGGTGAGAGGCAAGAATCCAAGATACCAGATCAGTCTAAGAACTAGCAACGTATGCCCATTAGTACTTATTAAAAGTTAATTAGAAGTAAAAATAAGGTCCAACAATTTCTCTGGCAGAGTAACCAAGATAATAGGTCTGAGAGCAATTACATAAACACCAAGGCAATAAGTGCAATCAGTCTGCCAGCAGCCAGGGCAACGTCCCTGAAGCATACACTAGCTACTAAAGGAACAAGGAACACACACCATCCTTCCAGCCCAGACTCATTAAAAAGGGAAACTAAACCAACTCAAAATAAATATAGTGACAAGAAGGAATCCTTGTCCAATGTTCAGTCTCCATACAAAGGCACATGGGCCATAGCTTAGGACTACCTAGCTAAATGAATACATTTGTTTTACAAAGATGCAGCAACACACAGCCTAGGAACAAGATTTCTGGGCCTTGGGAGGGTTGGTGAGGGAATCTGGAGCACAGGTTATTGTCTGTCCCCCTGGTTGATAGCAGTGGGGGTGCTAGGATCATCAGTGGTAGGCAACAGCACAACACAACACAGTTAGAGGAATGGGAAAGCAACAGGACAGTAGTGGAGGAACACCCCTGGGGACTGAAGGGATGCCCTCTAAGATGCTAACACCCAGCAGCCCAGCTGAGTGCCTCTACAGCAACGCCTGCAGCCTGGGGGCAAACAGGAGAGGCTGGAGCCTGCTGTGCTGCAGGAAGGCCAGGACAGAGTGGCTGTCACTGGAACCTGGTGGGACAAATGCTACAGGTGAAGCATGGCTATCAATGGCTACACACTGGTCAGGAGGGACAGGAGTGGAAGGAGGGGTAGCAGGGTTGCCCTTTATGTGAAGAAATTGATAGACTGAAGAACTGTCCCTTACCAAGAGCCACGAGAAGGTCGAGAGCTTACGGGTAAAGATCAGGAACAGAGAAAACAATGAGCCACCAATGTGCAGCAGCAGCCCAGAGGCCAATCCCCTCCTGGGCTGCATCCAGAGCAGTGTGGCCAGCAGATGGAGAGAGGTGATCCTGCCCCTCTGCTCTGCCCTGGGGAGACCTCCCCTGGAGTCTGTGTCCAGCTCTGCAGCCCCCAGCACTAGAAGGACGTGGAGCTGTTGGAGTGTCCAGAGGAGAGCCACAGAAATGCTGGGAGGGCTGGAGCAGCTCTGCTGTGAGGACAGGCTGAGGAGTTGGGGCTGTTCAGCCTGGAGAAGAGGAGGCTCCGGGGGGACCTTAGAGTGACCAGTGCCTGAGAGGGGCTACAGGAAAGCAGGGGAGGGACTGTTCACAAGGGTTTGGAGTGACAGGATGAGAGGTAATGGCTTTAAGCTAGAAAAGGGCAGATTTAGGTTAGATGTTAAGAAAAAAAGTCCTTTAATGAGCGTGACAGACCACTGGAATAGGTTGCCCAGAGAGGTGGTGGAGGCCCCATCCCTGGAGACATTCAAGATCAGGCTGGATGAGGCTCTGAGCAGCTTGATCTAGTTGGAGATGTCCCTGCCTATTGCAGGGGGGTTGGAGTAGATGATCTTTGGAGGTCCCTTCCAACCCAAGACATTCTGTGTTTCCATGAAATTTTCTTAAGTCCATACATTCCTTATTTCAAGACTGGCAGAAACCAAAAGGGAATGACAATTATCTGTCATGGCTGAACATCCTGAAAGGATGACCCTCATGCCCATAAAAGCACATGTGCAGATGCCCACCAGTTTCATCATGGTAGTTGACAGCCTCTGTCTCCATCCAGGCGTTGTCAGTGTTACGAGGGTCATCCACATATCCTCTGTACACCTAGGGCACAAACGAAAACAAGCTCACTGTCACAAAAAAGGTGGAATCAGTAAGACATTTTCTTTCCCTTCAAAACATTTACCCTCACAGTATTTTCAATTATCCCTTCCACTTCCTGCCACAAGAACCCTTGCATCACAGCTTGTTTTCACTTCAGGTACAGTTTTTCAAGCTCCCTACAGCTATGAGTTACATAGCTCAAGAGGCTGTCACAAGAGACAGAGCTCACCACAAAGTGTTCCTGGCTGAACAACTTGTGGAGTTGCTTCTCCAGTTCAGCCTTCTCCTCAGGTGATTTCTCCAAGGCATTCAAGGCCTCCTCCCCAAATTCTCGCTTCAGGGTAGCACTGATCTTCTCCCCTGGGTCCACCATCCCCTTAGAGGGCAGAAAAGGATAAAAATTACTACCCCTCAAATTCCACTTGTTTTTACTCCCCTTCAGCTCTCATTGCATTGCATCCACCTGCATCATACTCTGGACAGGAGGAACTTTTCACTTAGCTGCCAAGAGTGAGCACACACATCTTTCAAAACCTCCACCAGGTTAAGGTGTGTCTGCACTAATCAAAAGGCGTGGTCATGATTGAATCTGAGTACCCCCTTGAAATGCAGCAGGAGCAGAGGGCACACCAGCTGAAGCTCGGGCAAAGCTAGTTGAAGGGACATTTCTCCTGTGCAGCATGGTGCCAGCCATGCAGCAGCAGAGCTGTCCCACATGCTGGCTGCCAGCAGGGCAGTCTCACCCCTGGGATGGCCCACTCCCCACAGTCCTTCCTCTTGATGGCTACGAACTGCAAGATGTTTTTCCCAGTAACCGGATGAGCAACTTTATTGCCACTTCCATCCCTCTTCCACCTGCAGATGACAAACAAGAACAAGTTTTGCTGTTGCTTGACACCAGGGCCTGGGAGAACAGCAGCAAGGCACGGGTGCTGTCACCTGTGTGGAGACAAAGCAGTGACAGAACAGTTTTGGCAGGGACCGATGAACACCACCTGGCAAGACTGCAACCAGGGACACAACAGCTTTCCACACAGCCCTACCAGCTGTTTCTGAGCTGAAAGGGCAGAAACTGCCCAAAGCCACATTTCAGTAGCCACACTGATAGCAGCAGCTCTTTTGAGAGCTACACCCAGCACATCCCCTCAGCTGCAAGGCTTGCTGAGCTGCACTTGAGTCCATCCCTAACAAGACCAGAACTATGCCTCCTGCTGGGTAAGTACACACAGGGGGCAACACCTCTGAACCTCTCCCCCAATCCCTGGCCACAAACACCCACTGTCTTCAGCAAAGAATTAAGCACTACTGATAGTTAAAGCAAAAAGCTATATATGCAAAGACAAAACAGCATTTATTTTACTTTCATGGAAATGACTCAGTAGCACTGGCAGCCTTCTGAAAAGGGGAAGAAATAAAATGCATTAGGATGCTTTTCACAATGGTTTTATCTCCAGCATGGCACTAGTCTGCACCTTTAACAAAGCAATCTTTTCCAAATGCTTTCTTTGTGTAAAATAGTTAACACAGACAGATCCTGCTGGCAACAGCACCATTAAAACAGAACACAGACAAGACACCCTAACCCCACCTCCTCCTAGAACATACTGGGCCAAGGCAGTATTTCTTAGAGCAAAAGCAAGCAGGCTGCCTTTTGCAGTTGAGTCATTATGACAGAAAAACCTTAGTATGCCAAAAGGCCTTAGGTGTGGCATGTTATCTATACAGCATTAAAGTATCCCATAACTCCTCAAGCTTTTACATTTGACACCAAAGATTATTTTTACAATGTATTTCTGTTGAATTGCAGTTGGATTCCTGGGTTGGTGTCTTTTTTTTAAATCTGCCTCCTCAGCATTTCATCAGTTGCTTGCCAACAATGAGTCCTTGCTCTTTTCCAGAGATAAAGACTAAAAGTATTATGAAATTGGTGTCCCACATGTCTGTATATCTCTCTCCATTCAGATAGTCACATCTGAAGGGGCTTATGCATAGAAGAACACAGACAAAAGGCCCATGAAACACAACAGCCTGCCCAGAGATGCACAAAAAAGCACAGTGCAGGGGGTACCTTTTCCCTGCTGCAGGGCACTGTCCAGTCACCCCTCCCTTACCTAGTGACAACAGGATCAGCAGCATGGTTGGGGCCCCAGCGCCCCAAGAGTCCTCTGCCTGTGAGGCCAGTCCTTCCTGCTGGATTTCTGAAATTGGTGGCACAGGACATTAGACATACTTGCTTCCCCACATACAGAACATGATCCAGATATTCTTTCAAAAGCAGGTTTAAGGCTTAGTCAGCAACAGAGGGAAGGATAACAACACACATTCAGTGGCACCATATGCTTCAAGGAGCAAGAGAGACAAAGCAAGGTTTTCTCCAACAGCCTCTTTTTGTGTCTCCTGACCAAGCGTTACTCTCCTTGTGCACATGACCATGTCTGAAATTGGAATCTGGTTTCCAAGACTACAGATGCACAGAGCATTCAATTAGTTTGGGTGAGATTACCCATCTGTGCCATGCCATGGTTTATCAGGGGCAGGAAATACTCTCCTGCTCCTCTACAGCATACAGGTGGAACAAGCTTCAGAGCTTCACACCTGGTCAAGCTGTGGAAACAATTCAACAGACCTTGCTGTTAATAGTGCCAGACCTCCTCTGACTCCAGTGTCACCACAACCCTCGGTGGTGGTAGCACTGGATAGCCTTTTAGTGCCTCTCTGCCACAACCTTCTCCCAGAAAATCTGACCCTGAGGCACCAGACTATCTTGACTTTGTTCTAGCAGGTACCATGTACCAAAACTGACAGATCTGCAAGAGCTCTGAAACTGCATCACTAAAATGAGCATGTGAACAAACCCCCCACTCACCGGGGCCTCCCGTTCTCAACGACGTACAGGCCATTCAGACTCTTCCTCTCCACTTCTCCATCTCTCTCATTGAATTTGGGAGAAAAATCTTTATCACTACATGGAAAAGAATGATTGAGTAGAGATAAGTTACAAAACACAAAACATCCCTCTGCTCCACAAAAGCTTGAAGGCCAGCCACTAGATCAGCAACATTCATGTGGCCAGTAGCCAGCTCTGTCCAGAACTGAAGCTGCACTCCCTCCCTGTTCTATACAAAGCTATAAAGTCCCAAGCTTTATTGGGGAAAGTCTTCCTGTATCAAGTTCTGTATTTAGCAGACATAAGTGTGTCCCCCAAAGCATGGTATGATCCAAATTAAGAGCAAATAGAACAAAAAAGTTCATACAGCAACGGGAAACAAGGAAGGTAAGGCTGAGATCTCAAGTGCCATTATCTTCTGATAGTTCTCCACAGATGTGCATGCACTGGAGGCACCACTTCACACCACTGCAAGTTATACTAGATGCACGCATATAACTTCCTAGCCAAGAAGCATACAGCATTCCTTCAGAGGAGAATATACCCACAGGACCAATAAAAGTGAATACACATTCACAAAAAGGAATTAGTCATGCAATCTCTCACACTTTCATCAGACTGCTCAGCTCCAGAGCTACAGCTCTACTTCAATTCTTTCCTCAGCTTGCATTCAAACCATGAGCAAAAAAGCCACTACATTATGAGAACGTTCTCCCAGATTCTTAGAGAATTAGGAGGTCTTTGCTTAGCTCCTAGCACAGAGAAGCAGCACTGCTGAGGATCAACAGCTGTCCGTTACCCCAATTAACACCACTCATTTCAGTCACCAGCTCAGTGGAATCACCTGTCACAGACCCCCACAGCTAACCCCAGCCATCCAGCTCTCTAGCCACCACCCTTCTGGGCCTTGACTGTTACACATCACTGCAGGATCACACGACTTACGCTGCTGATTTGTTAACTCCGAGGATCACCATTCCTAGGAGAGCCACCGTTCCCTCTCACCTGATGTGTGGATCTGCCCAGCGGGGCCGTGCCAGCACGGCGGCTGCCGTGTACTCCACGGGCTCGTAGTCCTGCCACGCCACGCGCCAGCCCAGCCGGTCCTCGGGAACGGGGCAGCGCCGCACCTGCGACCCCGGGTACGGGGAGGTGAGAGCTCTGCTGTGGGACAGCCCCACGCCGTGCCTGCTGCACATGCCAACGGCAGGGAGAGGATCACAACAGAAGAGGACACCAACGGTTTGCAGAGCAGTTACTGAAAGGAGAGCAAGAGAAAAGAACACCTCATACTTTAGGCTTTAATCCTGTTATTTAACCCCAGCTCTGCACTGTACAGAGAACAGACCAGGCTTTTCTGGCCAACCCAGGCTCAGCAAAACCAGGCTCTCACTTCCAGTGGTAGACCACATAAAAGCAAGAATTAGATCCCCAAAAGCCTGAGCAACACAGCTCTACACGTCGCTACAACCACCACAGCACTTTGTGCAACAGCAAGCAGGACAATAGAGACCTTGTTTTCCAATTGCAGAGAAGGCTAGAACTGCCAAACTAGTTAAGTTAAAACAAAAACTACTTGAGACAGAGTAATTTTATTTTGCCACGGGTTTTTGGGAACTGAAAAACCAGTCACCAATAAAACTCTTAGCAGGTTTGGTTCCAATGCTTCATTGCCAGCTCTTAAAAACTCTACACAGATTTCCTTCAACACATGCAGTAGCCTCTCTGTACTCAATTTTAATTATTATAAAATTAAAGAAGATTACTCTAGATAAGAGGAACAAAGCTCAGCAAGGGCCTATATCCTACAAGAGTACTCAAAAACAGAGACATCTAGATGCTTTAGGGAAAAGCTTTAGAAAATAAAAAACACATATAAGCATATAAGGAAATATATGTCCTCTGCAAAAAATGCATCAAGGATTTAGCAACTTACCACGTGAGCAAGGTAATAATGGGACCAGTCACTTTCAAATAAAAAAAACGTAACTCATACATTAAATGTTAACTCTGCTGTTTGAGCCCAGATGTGAACATCAGGTTACAACCAGCAGAACAGGCCAAGCTTCTTCAAAATCAGCACTTCCAGTTCTACAGCCCTCACTCATGGTTTGAAACCTTTAGGTGCATCTAGGAGAGCACACTCTGCTTCACACTGAAGCTGAGAACTCGTTGGTTGCAGTTACAGTAACAGGTACTGCTGCACTCACTGCCGAGGTGATGTTCTCAAGAGCCCAATTCAACTCACAAGCCA